ATCACAAAAGCCAATAGATATTCTTTAAAATCACAACCCCCTTTTTTTTTTTTTTTTTGGTCTTTTTGAGACAGGGTCTCCCTGTAGCCCCAGTTGGCCTTGAACTCACAGAGATCCACATGCCTGGGATCAAAGGCATAGGCCACCATGCTCAGCTACAATGAGCTGATTTTAATGTTTAAATCTCCCTTATTGCTAGGCATTGTGACACACACCTGTGATTCTGGCACTTAAAAGGATTGGGAGTTCAAGGTCAGCCTGTACTACATGAAAGGGGTGTGTGTGTATGAGAGCGAGGGCACAAAGCATTGCCATGGAAGTGTAAGGACTAGAGTTAGAACCTCTAGCACCTACAGAAATGCCAGGTAGGTATGGTAGCTTTCTGTAATCCCAATGACCTACAAGTAGAGACAGGGGTTCCCTGGAGCATGGTGGCTTGCTAGACTACCTAGATGTTATCCTTTGGCTCCACACATATGCAAAAGAACCCTCCAAAAATAAAAGATAAATTTTAAAAAATCACTTCTCAAGATACCCAAATAGTATTTATTTATCCACTTATTGACTGATTTATTTAATGTGTATGAATATTTTGCCTGCATGGATTTAAGTGCACCACATGCATGCAATACCCACAGAGGCCAAAAGAGGGCATCATATTGCCAGGAAGTGGAGTTATAGACAGTTGTTAGCTGCCATGCAGATGCAGAGAACCAAACCCAGGCCCTCTGTGATAGTCATCAGTGCTCCTAACCACTGAGCCATCTCTCCAGCCCCAGATACCCAAATATTTTACACATCACTGGTCTGTGATGAATAACGACAAAGCACTAGTGAGTACAATACTGATCACATTATTTTGATCCTTATATGCCTCTGGTAAGAAAAGGTTGTCTATTTATAATGCTGCAACAATACTGTGATCTGAAGACAGTGGCATATGTGTTTTGGCTGCTCACATTGAGGAGTGACTACTGAGGAGTCTCAACTGCAGCTTGGAAATGACTCTGAAAAAAGATGGACAAATATTTATGCTTATAAGATGGGAACAAGTCCTAGTGTTCACACTTATATTTACAATGAGACATGCTAAAATCTTGTCTTCTTATTGTCAAATGATCTATTTTAAAATAATTTTCCATCTTTTGACCATCTTCAAGGAATATTTTTGTTAGTAATATGGCAAAAAAAAGTAAACTTATTGAATCTTCCTAACTTCCTCAAATACTGACTGCCTAACATGTGACTGAATTATGTTAAGCCTTAAAATATACTTAAGATACAAAAGTCAAGAACAGGCAAACCTCACTCACAAGACGCTTATCATTTATTCAGGAGGAGGAGCAACTATACAACCACAACATACACACAACAACAACAAAAGAAACAAACAGAAATAGTCTATACATAATCACCAATGGAATTAACAAAATCAAGACTAAAAATAAAGCCCGGTGTGGTATTGAGTCTTCAGTCCCAAATCTCAAGAGGCAGAGGCAGAGGCAGGTGGATCTCTGTGAGATCGAGGTCAGCCTAGTCTACACAGTTACAGGCCAGCTGGGACCAAAGGGAGAGCCTGTCAAAAAAAAAAAAAAAAAAGATTTAAAAAAAAAGATTAAAAACATTTCAGTAGTGATGATGAGATAGGATGATATTTAACAGGCTTAGGTAGTTAAAAGTCAATATGAAATGTAAGCCAGGCATGGTAGCACATGCCTTTAATCCTAGCACTCAGGAGGCAGAGGCAGGCAGATCGCTGTGAGTTCAAGGCCACTCCAGTGTACATAGTGAGTTCCAGGACAGCTGTCAGCTGGGGCTACAGGGAGACCCTGTCTCAAAAAGACAAAAGAAAAAAAAATCAATTGTAAAATGCAGCTTGTATTAAAAAGGTTTATAGACGGCTGGAGAGATGGCTCAGCAATTAAGAGCACTGGTTGCTCTTGCAGAGGACCTGGGTTCAATTCCCAAGACCAACATGACGGCAAACTCTCCTTAACGCCAGTTCCAGGGGCTCCAATGCCTCTTCTGACCTTCATGTGCACTGCACACACAGGTACATTTACATACATGCAGGCAATACACTCACTCAAACATAAAATAAAAAGTTTAAAATAAAAAGATTAACAGGTTTCAGCTGAGTATAACAGTATAAAAGCATTCAGTCAAGTATGTGTCAGGCATGGTGGTATATACCTTTAATCCCAGCACTTGGGAGGCAGAGGCAGGCAGATCTCTGTGAGTTTGAGGACAGCTTGGTCTACACAGTGAGCTCCAGGACAGCTAGGGTTATAGGGAGACCCTGTCAAAAAAATAAAAGCTAAGGAAGAGGTTGGAGTCATAGCTTGTTTAGTGTATATAAAGACCAGGATTTGATCCTCAGTCCACAAAATAAACGAAAACATTTCTGTTTAAAGCTATCCACCTACCTGCGTGTCTATATATGTCCTATACATGTGTGCCCATGCTTGCTAGTGTACCACCAAAAATGAAGTATCCAGAAACCATATTGTGCAACAAGACTGACCAAAGTGAGGAAATCTGGCTTAAAAGCAGACTGGGAGGTGGATGGTAAACAGTACAGCACACAACAGCTGTGACAAAGGCCTGTGAGCTAGTACAGAAGGCCTAACTGGGTTCCAGGAAAATTACAAAAAGGAAAAAGGAAGATTTTTGGATCAATATGAGTGATTCCAAATATCTTTCACTTCCCAACTGTAGTGTTTTATATTTAGAAAGAGCATAAACCCAGTAGCACAGATTTTATTCCCATATACTATTGAGATGAGATTATTTTTCTCTGAAGCTGAACCCACTTGCACAAGTCAGGCAAGTACTCTACCACTGAGCTATATTCTAGCCCTATTTTCCATTTTCAGATGCTGTGGTACTCAACTGCTGGGCTCAAGTCATCCTCCTATTTCAGCCTTCCAAATTGCTGGGATTACAGATATACACCACTGTGCATGACTTAACATTAAAAATCAAAGATCGAACTGGGCATGGTGGCGCATGCCTTTAATCCTAGCACTTGGGAGGCAGAGGCAGGTGGATCTTTGTGAGTTTGAGGCCAGCCTGGTCTTCATAGTGAGTTCTAGGACAGCTGGGTCTACAGGGAGACACTGTCTCAAAAAAAAAAAAAATTCAAAGATTGGCTTTATCTGGTGGTTTTATCTGGGAGGGCTTACAAAAGAAATACTGGAAACCGGCCTGGTCATCTTCCCCAGGCCCACTCAAACATCTATGTAGGGTTGGATTAGGAATATTTTTACCTGTGTCTCAGATTTGTGAGACATGTATAAATGTACTTATCATAATTGGGAGAAGATAGTTATCACCCTGAAATTCATGAAACTTAGAAAAACATTATGAACTAGGTATTATGGTTCATACCTATAATTGATACTTAAGAGGTTGAGGTAGAAGGACTACCATGAATTAGAGGCCAGGTTGGGCTACACAATGAATTCTAAGCTAGCCGGAGCGCTACAGAGTAAGACTCTGTCTCAAATAACCAAAGCAAACCAAAGCAACATTACAAAACTAGAACAGAAAGAGGGAAAAAATTAGAATTTAGCTCTGGGAGCTGAGTGTGGTGGTGCACATCTATAATTCCAGCAGCTGGGAGGTGGAAACTAGAAGATTAGGAATTTGTGACTAGCCTGAGGTATACGATATCTGTCTCAAAACCAAGAGCCCAACCAACATGGTCTTAGAATTCTTTGAGAATCTATAATTGTTTTCAATTAATAATCCATTTTTTAAACTACGTGTATCAAATTCTATAAATTTTTAAATTATGTAACTATGGTGCCTGCAGCTGTGGTAATGCCATTAAAAGAGAACTATCAGGATATAGAAATGTCAAAGAACGAAGGAGAAATAGAAATAGTGGGAAGTTAAGGAGATTGGTTACAGATGGGCATGCTGGGCAAGTAAGCCCTCACATGGAAGAACCAACTTATACCAAGACAAAAAGACCAACTAGAGATGACCTATAGGCTCTTAGTATCCTTGTGAACTCACTGTTTGTCAATGTATACAGTAGCTATAAATAGAAATAAATTTATTTATAAACAAACATGCCAACCCATCAATTTCATTCTGAGGCCAGGAAAGTAAGCCTCAAGTTATATATACATCCTGTGAATTCAATTTCTAGTCTTAAATCTTATGCCAGAAGCATTCCATTCTAAAAGATACAGTCAGTCAACAAATATATGCCCAGAGGCTACTGTGAGCAAAAACTATTTTAAGTTCAATGAAAGAGAAAAACCTATCATGGCTTCAGTAGGTTATAGATATAACCCTTTTGAGAGAGGTAACCTATAGGCGAGCCTATTTAGTAGTAGCATTTGCTTAGTCAAAGCATGTTTCTGAAAGTCCATTAAGATATTTTAGAAATTAGAGCTTTCAGGTAAACAAATTAAGCATTTTTTAAAAACTATATATTAGGGGCAGGGGCATTACTAGGGACTGAACACAAACCTTGCACATGGGCAAGCAGATACTCTACCACTGAGCTATATATATCTCTAGCTCAAGACTTACATTTTTACAAATTCACAATGGTTCTATATTATTACAATCTTACGGCTCTTGTAAACAAATGAAAACAATGAGTGAAATCTCAGTGTTGCTATATTTTAGACTGTATCTCAATGCTGTAAAGCATAGCATGAAAATTACCAATCGTTTTCTCCTTTCTTTTGGAATACAGACACACACACACACACAAAAAAAATCCAGAATCTTCATAGCATGTATATTTTCAGCAGGTGAAAACGTCTAAGAATTGATTGTGAGCCAGGTCATGGCATTAAGGCTCTCCATTCAACTGCACCTCCAGAACCAGAGAGCAAACCGCTTCTGGTTGGCTATGTGTAACTCTTATCCTATAAGCATATATGATCTAGTAAAAGGGGTAAACCAGACCAAAAATTTGCATTTTTTAGGGTTTCCAACTAAGCTAAATAAATAAAGAAAAAGAAAACTTGACTTACCAGTACTGCCAAGCTGTTTATAAAACCTGTACTCTAAATGAAGCTGTGGCGCACGTGATTTTATTGGTTCCTGAAATCCAAAAAGAAAAACCAATCAAATTTAAACAAATGGGTCTTTTTTAATTTTTAGATTTTTCAGAGTAAACAAAGATCACTTATTGTTTCAGCGATGATATCCACATACGACAGTCCTTTCTTACCACACTTTATCTTTGATGTACAGTTAAAAAAAGATGAAGTGGACTAAAATTACATGCAACCCCTCTCATGGCTAGTCAAAGATACTCTCCATGAGCCATCAATCAAAGGTAGCTCCCACAGTATGAAATACTCTTCTGAAATGTGTTCTCCTCTCTTCCTTCTTGTTCCTCCTTTCCCTTCCTTTCCGGTAAATCACTATGTAGCATAGGATGACTTCAAACTCTTAATCTTCTGAATATACTTCCTAAGTGTTAGGATTACCATGCCTGGTTCAGATGTGAAATCTGAAGCATAGTGCATATTTCTTGCTTGTGTAATTATGAATTCTGGGTAGTAAACAGTTTACTTTTAGAAAAATAATGCATGATAAAACTTTCAAATACACAAAAACTAACTAAAAATAATCTGAAGTTTTATCATTTTAGACAGCCACTATTAATGCTTTGTAACTTTTTCTAAGTTTTTTGTTTGTTTTTGAGACCATGTGCCTTGAACTCTCTATATAGTCCAGGCTGGCCTCAAACTTGCAACCTTCTGTCTTAGTATCCTGAGTGCTAAAATTAGATGTACCACCATGCCAGGCTCCAAGTGTTTATCTGTATCAATATATATTAGAAACTCTTGTAAATAAGTTTAAAAAGAGGACAGCCTACTATATTTTTTGTTGAGTGATTTGTATAAGGTATGTAACATTTCTACTGGTTGAAGGACTCCTATGCACATATAAACACTGTTTTCCGCTTTCAATATTATAAACAGTGTTGTTAGGAACATTACTATGCATTTATCTATTTACATTTATGAGAATTAAAGTTATAAATACAACTTAACTAACTTTAATTAAAGTGGTGTTCAAATTTTCAATAATAGTAATTTTCTTTCTTTTGTATTTAGGGGCAGAGTTTTTTCTTTTTATTGGTATATATCAATTGTACAAAATAATGAGTTTCATTATGTCACTTTCATACACACAGATAATGTACTCACCCCCTTCCATCACCCTCTCTTATCCTCTCTCCACCATCTCACTGATTTCCTTCTTCCCAAATAGGCCTTCTATTTTCACATTTTTGTCTTATTTTATTTTTTATTTTTTTGTCTTTTTTGAGACAGGGTCTCCTTGTAGCCCAAGCTGTCCTGGAACTCACTATGTAGATCAGGCTGGCCTCGAACTCACAAAGATCCACCTGCCTCTGCCTCCCAAGTGCTGGGATTAAAGGCGTGCGCCACCATGCCCAGCTTGCTTTATTTTTTTAAACTAGATTCCAAAAAAATGGGACTTTTCTGCCAGGCCTGCAATACCAACAGATAGGAGCATGAGGCCAGCCTGAGTTAGGTAGTAAGTTTCAGGCCACCTTGGGCTATAGAATGAGATTCAGCCTCAAAGCAACACCAACCACAATGAACCCAAACCAAATAACAAGAAGGAGGGGAATTTTCTAAATACATTAGAGGTAAAGTTGACAAACAACCACACTTTGCTCTAAGCCAAAACTAAGAACTGACTGGTTAATTGTTCTGAACTGACCTACAGTGTTGATAAATAGCTGACAGGGCAACCAAAGATTATCCTATAAGATAAAGTTTCTTATTGCTTTTGTATATAAATAAGTAAAAATTACCACATGCCTTTAATCCTAGCACTTGAGAGGCAGAGTCAGGCAGATCTCTGTGAGATTAAGGCCAGCCTGGTCTACACAAGGAGTTTCAGGCCAGCTGGGGTTACAGGAGGATTCAGTTTTTAAAAAATCTCTATAGCCTTAGCATTTAAGAGGTTGAGGCAGGAGGATGTTGGTTTGAGACTATGGTAGACTATAAGGAGGGAAGCCTAGACTACACAGTGAAACACACACACACACACACACACACACACACACACACACACACAGAGCTAAGCACTGTGGTTTACATCTGTAATCCCAACACTAGGGAGACTGAGGTGGGAAGACTGCTCTGAGGCCAGCTTAGGTTACAGAGTGTGACCCTTACTAAAAAAAAAAAAAAACACTAGAATTTGAGGATATCCTTGGCTACATGGCAAAGTTTAAAGTAAGCTTAAACTACATGAGAGCCAGACTCAAAGAACAAACATAAATAAATAAAATGTTGCAATTGAAAATGATGTGGTGGGTTCAATTCTACTTCTGCACGTACATACTCCTGCCTCTACCTCTTGAATGCTGAATTACAAGCATGTGCCTCCACACTCAAGTTTGACATGGTGCTGGGGACTGAAGTCAGGGCTTCATGCATAGTAGGTGTGCTGAATAGCTATAGTGTCAACTTGACAGACCTGGGTTGAGGAGCTGCACCTGGAGAATTTCCTCCCTTGGATTAACCTATGGCCAAGTCTGTGGGGTATTTTTTTGATTTTTGAGTGATGTGGGAGGGCCCAGCCCACTGTGGGTGGTACCACCCCTGGGCAGGTTGTTCTGTATTGTATAAGAATACAGGCTGAGCAGAGGCCAGGGGAGCAAGTCAGTTAAGCAGCATTCCTCCATGGCCTGTGCTCCAGTTCCTGCCTCCAGGTTCCTACCCTGAGTCCCAACCTTGGGCTCCCTGATGAACTGTGACCCAGGAGATGAAAGCGAAATAAACCCTTTCCTCCCCAAGTTGGTATTGGTCAGAGTGTTTTGTCACAGCAATTGAAAAGAAGCTAGAATACTAGGGAAGCAATCCACCAAAATACATAATACATTTCTGCTACCTAAAAGGTAATCTACATTTTTCTTAGGACATATAGTCTATAAATCACAGAACTCAGAAGTTTACTTAAAATTACATAGTTTATCAGGTGCTTTTAGGAAAGTTTAAGCTAAATCAATTTAGAGAGATGAATTTCATATCTGTGAAGAACTCTATTAAAGAATTCACAGCACCGAAGAGTCCGACTTCAAGTTTCCCAAGGTTATCTCAGTCCAGAGAAAGTACTTAAGATTAATAATAATATGGTAATGATTTTATCTCTTCAGATAAAGGGATAACTCTTTGTCTGGTTGCAGATAACTACCTGATCAACAAAGCAGCCAGTTACAAAATGTGTCTAAGAGAAAAATCACCAGTAATAAATTTGTAAGAAACCAAACAGGAACATGACAAAACAAGATGGGACTAGAGTAGGAAAACACTAGGAGAAAAGATTGCTCTGGGGAAATAATTTTTAGATAATGGCAAACCACAAAGGAAATGGATTTTAAAAGCACGGGATCTTTTCCTTGAATTTCATGCTAGATACTTTAACAGGAAATATTCAATATGACCTTTGATAACTTGGTTAATGAAAACCGAAATGCTTTACAGAGTCCCAGGGCTGAAAGTGAGCATACGCCCCACATATATTCAAATACAAGGGCTTTTTATCACAGGTTCAAGAACTTAGACCTTTCAATCTCTTCAGCACATGGTTGCAGTCCTCAAGCAAACATGGCTTGAGGATCTGTTCTGAACACACTAAGCATAGAAAGCTTTCCAAACATAGTAGCTTAGAGAAAAGCACCAAGATAATCAGCACACAGAGAATTTTATTTTACTTTTAACCATAGAAATTTGGTTAAATAGTTACAAGAGAAATTCAGTACACCATTCTGTTTATTTTCTGTGTATGGCTAAGTATATACGTATACATTTTGAGGTTTTCAAATTTTTTTATTTTTATTATTATTTTTTTTAGACAGGATCTCATGGTAACAGGTAAGACTTGAACTTGCTAGGTTACTAGATAGCAGGAGATGACCTTCAACTGCTGATTTTCTTCAACCTTATGAGTACTGGGATTACAGGTATGAATCACCATATGTACATGTATACATATATATACACACACATGCATATTGTTTTTCTGGGGCAGGATCTTTCATTCCATACCCAGGTTGGCCTGGAATTTCTTATGCAGCCTAGGCTGGCCTAGAACTTACAGTGATCATCCCGGTTCTAGCCTCCCAAGTGCTGAGATGACAAATATGAGCCACCATGCAGGCTACTTTGTGTGTGTGCATATTGTTTGTCCTTTTTAAAAAATTTTTATTTATTATTTTTATTTTATGTGTATGCAGGTATCACCTGCATGTAAGTGAGTGCACCCACGTTGTACAATGCCCGCGGAGGACAGAAGAGGCTGTCAGATCCTCTGGAACTGGAGTTACAGACAGTTGTTAGCTGCCATGTGGGTGCTGGGATTCAACCAAGAACAGTCAGTGTTCTTAACCGCTGAGCCATCTCTCCAGCCCCGTTGTTTGTTTTTTAAAGACTTCATTTATTATTTTAGTTATAGTTCATGTGTATGAGTGTATTACCTGCATGTGTGTAAGTACACCCATGTCGTGCAATGCTTGCAGAGGTCAGAAGAGGGCATTAGGTTGCCAGGAACTGGATTTATGGGTGTTTGTTAGGCTGCCAGCTGGGTGCTGGAAATCAGACCCAGTTCTCTGCAAGAGCAGACAGTACTTAACCCTTAACCACTGAGCCATCTCTCCAGTCCTTAGAATTCGGGGTGTTATACATGTAAGACAAGCACATCTTTCTTATAATCTGAAAGTAAGCTTTTACAGTGTTGAAAACATTTTTGTTGTTGTTGTTGTCTTTTGGAGACAGGGTCTCCCTGTAGCCCCAGGAGGCCTGGAACTCACTCTGTAAACCAGGCTAGACTCAAACTCACAGAGATCCTCCCACCTCTGCCTCCCAAATGCCTGTTTTAAAGTAATGCACCACCAGGCCTGGTTTAAACATTTATTTTTAAAAGATTTAATTTTATTTATGTGCTGTGTATGTGCACGTGGGAACACACATATCTGTGGTTGCTGGTGGAGATTAATAGAAGATGTCAGAACCTTTGGAGCTGTTCCAAGTCTATTTTGGGGGGTATTTTTTGAGACAGGGTCTCCCTGTAGCCCCAGCTGGCTTGGAACTCACAGAGATGCCCCTGCGTCTGCCTCTTGAGTGCTGGGATTAAAGGCATGCGCCACGACACCCAGCTAAACACAGCTTTTTTTCTTTTTTAATTAATCACTTAATTTTTATTTTATGTGTATGAATGTTTTGCCTGCATGTATGTAAGTACACCTGTGTTGTGTAGCGGATGCCCTGGAACTAGAGTTATGGAGTTTGCCACCATGTGGGTGCTAGGAATCGAACCTTGGTCTTCTCGAAAAACAGTCAGTGCTCTTAACTGTTAAGCCATCTCTCCAGGCATTTATGAGCTGCCTGATGTAGGTGCTGGGAAGCAGCACATACTCTTAACCACTGAGCCATCTTTTTTAAAAACATATTTTATTATTTTTATTTTATGTGTATCAGCGTATTACCTTCATGTAGGTAAGTTTGCCCGTGTCATGCAATGCCTGCAAAGACAGAAGAGGCCATCGGATCCCCTGGAAGTGGAGTTACGGACAGTTGTCAGCTGCCAGGCGGGTGCTGGGATTCGAACCCAGGTCTTCTGTAAGAACAACCAGTGTTCTTAACCGCTGAGCCATTTCTCCAGCCCCTATTTTCTATATTTTTAAACAGTTTTTTATTGAGAGAGAGAGAGAGAGAGGCTGTGCCACAGTGAGTGTGTGAAGGTCAGAAGACTCTAGTTGGTTCTCCTTCCACTTTTATGTGGATTCCAGAGACTGAACTCAGATTGTCAGGCTTGTGTAGCAAGCACCTTTACCCACTGAGCCATCTCCATGATCCTACTTTATATATTTTTTAAAGTTCTTAAAAACTAAAGAAACAAGAGCCACAATGAAAATCCAAACAAAGTAGGGCTGAAACACTAGTAGCAGCGATTCTTGTGTTTCTGCAGCAGATGTTGACTGCCTCATTTGAGTAGACAGCTGGTCTTCTGCCAGAATCAAAGCTATTCTGGAGCACAGAAGTCCACCTGAAATCCTAAACCAATGGCAGATGGCTATCTTATAGGACTGTGATGCTTGACACAAATTTTGCTTACAATTAAAGGAGCTCAATTACTATAGCTCTATGTCTTCTGAATAAGCTCAACAGCAAGAGTTGAGACCCAAAGACAGAAATGCTACACACTCCCTAAATTCAACATTTATTTAAGAGAAACAGTTACTGAGACAACCATAGTGGTGACATGAATTGTAACTTTAGTCCTTCTTTTCCCCCCTTTCACCCTCCCCCTTTTGAACCCAGGACTGAGCAATAACCAGCCCTTAATTCTACTTTTACTTATTGCCTACACAAAGAATAATAAAGTTTAATAAAACAAAAGTGAGGGCTGGAGAGACGGCTCAGTGGTTAAGAGCACTGACTGCTCTTGCAGAGGACCTGAGTTTGATTCACTATACCCACATGGCAGCTAACAACTGTCTGTAACTCCAGTTCCAGGGGATTTGAAGCCCTCTTCTGACCTCCATGGGCATTACATGACACAGGTATACCTACCTACATGCAAGCAAGCAATACACTCATACACATAAAAATAATAATTTTTTTTTGGTCTTTTTGAGATAGGGTCTCCCTGTAGCCCTAGCTGTCCTGGAACTCACTATGTAGACCAGGCTGGCCTTGAACTCACAGAGATCCACCTGCCTCTGACTCCCAAGTCACACCCAGCATAATTTTTTTTTTTTTAAAGGAACTGAAATGGCCAGGCCTGGTGGTGCATGCCTTTAATCCCAGCACTTGGGAGGCAGAGGCAGGTGGATCTCTGTGAGTTTGAGGTCAGCCTGGTCTACATAAGGAATTCTAGGCCAGCTAGGGCTACAGGGGGACCCTGCCTCAAAAAGAGCCCCCTCCCAAAAAAAGAAATGATGTCAATAATGATATAGAAATTTATATATATAAACAAGTAGAATTAACTTGATAGAAGAAATCTAGACAGTCTCAAAAGAAATCTTGAAAAAATAATTGAACAACATCAAGTACATAGTAATAACACAAAATTTTAAAGGTATAGCTTTTGGTACTGTTTGAGGGTGTTTTTTGCTATTGTTATTTTCATTTTGGTTTTACTTTTTTTTGAGACAGGGTCTCCCTTTAGCCCCAGCTGGCCTGAAACTTGCTGTGTAGACCAGGCTGTCCTCGATCCCCCTGCCTCTGCCTCCCAAGTGCTGGAACTAAAGGCATATGTCACTAAAACCAGCTGGTTTTACTTTTTTGAAACAGTCTCACTATACTTATTATATAGCCCAGTCTGGACTGGAACTTGGAATACTCCCATGTCCGTCTCCCTAGTGCTAGGATTAGAGATGGGCACTAAGACACTTGGCTGTAAGTGTTTTAAGGACTGCTTCTTCTTGTTAAGTAGCCACAAATAATCCAAGATTATTATCTCAAGATCTTCAGCAAAACAGAAAAAGGGCATAAATTCAAGGTCAACCTGAGTTGCACATGGAGAACCAACCAGGCCAGACCCTGTCTCGAAAAGGAAACAAACAAAAAAGAAGGGGGTGGTGGTGGAAGGGGGAGGACATAAGTTGGTAATAGAGTGCTTGCCTGGGATATATGAAGTCCTAGATTCAAGCTCTATTACAAAAAGAGGGAAAGGAGGGGAGGAAAAGAGAGAGGAGGGGAAAAGAGGAAAAGAGAAGAGAGGGAGAAGCATGGTAGAATAAACCTATAATCCTGGCACTTGAAAGGTAGATCAGGAGTTCAATGTCATCCATAGTCAGGTACATACTGAGTTTAAGGTCAACTGGGTTATATGAAACACTGTCTCAAAAAGGGGAAAGGGGACTCTCTATAAATTACCTGCTCTGGGGCTGGAGAGATGCTCAGTGGTTAAGAGCACTGACTGCTCTTGCAGAGGACCTGGGTTCTATTCCTAGCACCCACATAGCAGCTACAAACCATCTGTAACTCCAGTTCCAGGGGAATCTGAAGCCCTCTTCTGACCTCTGCAGCACTGCATGACATGGGTGTACTCACATACATGGAGGCAATACACTCATACACATAAATAAAATAAAATAATAAATAAATTACCTGCTCTAAGTCCTGTTCCCTGCACTCTCCTCTGTAAAGAAAACAATCTGGCAACTGTTCTTTCTTCATAAAACAATCCTAACTACCCCACAAAGTGACAAGCTGAATGAAAGAAAGGGCCAAGCAGAGCAGGAGAGAATGCTTTAATGCTATCCTTTTTCTGTTTGTTAAGAAAGGGTCTTGTTGGACTGGAGAGATGGTTCAGTGGTTAAGAACACTGGCTGTCTTGCAGAAGACCCGGGTTCAAATCCCAGCACCCACATGGCAGCTAACAACTGTCTGTAACTCCAGTTCCAGGGGATCTGACCGCCTCTTCTGTCCTCTGTGGGCATTGCATGACACAGGTGCACTTACCTACATGCAGGCAATACACTCATATGGAAATGTACCCAACTCCAAGGAGCTGATTCACTGGCTTTCCAAGGAAATGCAAACCAATAAGACAGAAAGTAAAACACATAACCCTTTGATTGCTGTTATTGTAACAGTTAAAATTTAAGCAACCTTGCTGGGCATGGTGGTGCATGCTTTAGTCCCAGCACTCAGGAAGCAGAGGCAGAGGCAGGCGGATCTCTGTGAGTTCAAGGCCAGCTGGTGCTACAGGGAGACCCTGTCTAAAAAAAAAAAAACTGAAAAATAAATAAATAAATAAATAAATAAATAAATAAATAAATAAATAAAGAAAAACTTATGAAACAATCTCTTAAGAAATAGATGAACAACAAATAAAGGTTAAAAAAATGTTTGAGGAGGAGGCTGGAGAGATGGCTCAGTGGTTGAGAGCCCTGGTCCCCACAGAGCATGCCTATGTGACTTCCTATCAATAACTCTACAGGCATAGTAATAGGGTTTCTATCCATCATAGTTTACATAGGATCATCAAAATTAGGCCCATCGTTCTTGCATAATTGTGTCCTATTTTATTCTCCAAATGCTTGGATTGGAAAATAAACTATAAGGTTAAAGTATCGAGCATCTCTAGTGTTTTATATATTCTATACCTTCAGTCACACATCCATTCACATATTGTGAAACCATAGCATACTCAGGGGAGGGAGGGAGGGAGGGAGGGAGAGGGGGAGGGAGAGAGAGAGAGAGAGGAGAGAGAGAGAGAAAGGGTCTCAAGGCACAGGTGTGCCTCAAACTATCTATGTAACTGAGGATGATACTGAACTCTTGATCCTACCTCCTCCACCTCACAATCACTGGGATTACAGGGATACATACTGTACTCAGTAAGAAAGCTTTTCAAGGTCAGGATTAGATGGTCAAATTCGGTTTTCTTCTGTTAAGTATATTAATAAATATCTTACAATTAAAATGGACGTCAAGGGGCTAGAGAGATGGCTCAGTGGTTAAGAGCACTGGTTGCTCTTGCAGAGGCCCCGGGTTCAATTCCCAGGACCCACATGACAGCTAACCACCGTCTGTAAATCCAGTTCCAGGGGATCCGACACCCTCTTCTGACCTCCTTGGGCACTGCACAACATGGGTACATTTACACACATGCAGGTAATAATAATTTTTGATTCATGATTGCTAACAATACAGTTTGTATTATCTGTAATGTATAGTTATACAGTGATTCATCACTGTAACATCATGATGGGGAAAAATGACTATCTGGAATCATATGCACAGTAAAAATAGCAACAGTATTATTGTGAAAGCCTATGATAATGATTTCCTGTACAAAGGCCTTAGTAGAGACAGCACCAAAACACAATTACCACAAACAGATTCTACTCACCAGTTTGATTGCTACATATTCATTGGTGTAGAGATTTTTACCTAAGGGAAAAGAGAATGTATGTATTAGTGACAATTCTTCTGGGAAATACAAAGCAACATCTTGGGTTACAGGGTAATGAGAAAGGTCACAGTTCTAGCTGTTCACATACATGAAGTAAAAAGCTAGACAGAATAATGGGAACCAGCAGAACTAACAAAAAACAGCTTGAGAATCTGAAATTTAACCTACACAGGGCAATTTGGTTTTTGTTTTGTTTAAAAAGAGAAAAGCAACTAACCACTGGCCCTCTTCTCCTTTCTAGCCCCACATACATGTAATGTTAGTGTTTCCTAATTATTATGCCATGAAGCAAACTAGGAAGAAATTCCAGACCTTCAAAGACAGAAATTTAAGCTTAGGGAAGGTGGAGGCAGGAGAACCATGAATTCAAGTCATCTACAGTGAGTCTAAGGATAGCCTGGACTACACAAGACCCTGCCTCAAATCTCTTGCCACCTCCAAAAGAAATTTAAACTCAGACTGAGGATGTGGCTCAGTTGTGGAATGCCTGTCTAGCACGTAACAGATTTAACATTTAAGGTGAACTGAGACTATAGCGCTTGTACAGCAGAGCAATCAATCCAGACACTGCTGTGAGCAAGGAGACAAGGCGATTACTACAGAGGGTAGAACAAGGGAATTGAGAGGGGAATTCTGCCCTTTTTTATCCCTTACCCACAAAGTCTCAAAGAACAAGCAGGATTTTCACAACTGAAGAATGGGTAAAGTCATTACAATGGAGAAGAAACTGTATTCGCAAACAAATAAAAACAAGGGAGGATGGCATAGGCTGCAAGTGAGGAACAGTTTGCAGTGATGGACCCAAGTTGCTTCATATCAGCAAAGGGTGAAGCCTGACAAGGAGCAGGAGTAGTTAAATCAACAAAAGACTGACATTAGGGTGAGGCCACATTAGGAAATTCAATGCCATCCTAAAGTTTAAAATGAAACATTTGGAGGTAGTCACATAATCAGATCTATACTTTTGATGAATTACATATGAGGCAATATAAAAATTAACAAAGTAACAAATTAACCAGGCCCTCAAATGGTATTTTAAAAATACAAATCTGGGAAGGCGCAGTGGCACATGCCTTTAATCCCAGCACTCAAGAGGCAGAGGCAGGCAAATCTCTGTGAGTTCAAGGCCAGCCTGGTTGGTCTACATAGTGAGTTCCAGGACAGCTGGGGCTACAGGGAGACCCTGTCTCTAAAAGGCCAAAAAAATTAAATAAATAATTGGTCCAGGCATGGTGACGCAGGCCTTTAATCCCAACACTTGGGAGGGCAAAGGCAGGTGGATCTCTGTGAGTTTGAGGGCAGCCTAGTCTACATAGTGAGTTCCAGGCCAACCTGGGCTACAGGGAGACCCTGTCTCAAAAAAGACAAACAACAATAACAACAACAAAAGCACCAACCAAATCTAGACCTAGGTGAGCTAGAGAGATGGGTCAGAAGTCAAGAGCACTTGCTTCTCTTGTAGAGGGCCTGGGGTCCATTTCCAACACCCAACAAGGTACCTCACAACAGCCTGTAACTCCAATTCCAGGGGCACCTCCAAGGGGAGCAGGCATGCATGGTATGCACATGCATACATGCAGGTAAAAACACTCAATACATATAAAATTAGTATATTAATCCTTAAAAAAAAATAGAGGGCAGCTGGGCGTGGTGGCGCACGCCTTTAATCCCAGCACTTGGGAGGCAGAGGCAGGCAGATCTCTGTGAGTTCAAGGCCAGCCTGGTCTACACAGTGAGTTCCAGGACAGCTGGGGCTACAGGGAGACCCTGTCTCAAAAAGATCAAAAAAATAAAAAAATACAAATAAAAAAGAGGGGATTGGAGAGATGGTTCAGTTGTTAAGAGCACTTGATATTCTCCCAGAGGACGGGGATTCAACTCCCAGTTCCAATAAGGCAGCTAACAACGAGTTCCTGGGAATCTGACACCCTCTTCTAGCCTCTGAGGGCACTGCACAGGTGTGATGCAGGCAAAACACTCATAGACATAAAATAAAAACAATAAATAATGGGGTTGAAGAGATGGCTCTGCAGTTAAGAGCACTGGCTGCTCTTGCAGAGGACCAGGGTTCAATTCCCAGCACCCCATGGTGGCTAACAACCATCCGTAACTCCAACTCCAGTAGATCTAACACCCTCTTCTGGCCTCAGAGGGCACTGCATGGTATGGGTGCACTTACACATATGCAAGCAATACACTCATACATGTAAAATTTTAAAAAGTATTTTTTAAAATATAAAATATGTTTAAATAGAAGTGAATAACTAGAAAGAAAACTAACAGGAAAACTTCATGGAAGAACATTTAAATAATAACCATTATCTCACAGAGTGGTTATAAGCATTACATGGAATAGAATTTGTGAAAGTAATTTTATAAACTGCAAAGTGCTAGGTAAAATCTAGTTCTCAATATTTTCATTATTAGTTCAGGTATAAGGTAATAATTCCCCAAAGAAGAACTAAAACAAATAGGGTTTATATATCAGACATTTTGAAGGAAAAACTGCCTTTGGATTACATTTTTGAAAATTTGATGGGTATGTGTTGTTCTTTTTTTTATGATTTTTTTTCAAATTTATTATTTTTATTTTATGTGTATGCGTGTATTGCCTGCATGTGTGTAAGTGCACCCAGGTTGTGCAATGCCTAAAGAGATTAGAAGACGGTGTCAGATCTCCTGGAACTTACGTTACAGATGGTTGTTAGTCTCCATGTGTTGGCTGAGAATCGAACCCCAGTCCTCTACAAGAGCAGTCAGTGTTCTTAACTGATGATCCATCTCTCCAGCCCCATGTATGGGTGCTTTGCCTGTATGTATGTAAGTGCACCTGTGTTATGCAATGCCTGAGAAGGCAAGAAGAGGTCATCAGATTCCCTGGATCTGTAGTTATAGACAGCTGTTAGCTGTCATGAAATGCTGGGAACTGAACCCAGGTCCTCTGGAAAAGCAGTCAGTGCTCTTAACCACTGAGCCATCTCTCCAGCCCTTGGACTATATTTAATCCGCGAGCGAGATGAAAACTACAGAAGTTAAAAATTATGTCCTAGGGCTGGAGAGCTCAGTGGTTAAGAACACTAACTGTTCTTGCAGAAGACCCAAGTTTGAATCCCAGGACCCACATGGCTGGTAACAATTGTCCATAACTCCAGTTCCAGGGGATCCAACAACCTCTTCTGTCCTCTGTGGGCATTGCACGGCATGGGTGCACTTACCTACATGCAGGCAATACACACATACACTACACATAAAATAAAAATTTTTTAAAAAAATAAAATAAAAATTCTGTCTTTATGCCAAGTATGGTGGCCCAACAACTGTAATCTAGCACATGAAAGGAAGAGATTAGAAGACCAAAAGTTTAAGGCTAGCTTCAGCTACATAGCTAGTTTGAGGTCAGCCTGTGTTACATGAGACCATGTTTTAAAACAAAATAAAATGATACTCTTTAATGAGTGGAGAACAGAAAAGGCCAGGAGAAGAAGGTGATCATTCTGCCTATCAGTATGCCTTCCTCTAAGTTTTCTCTAAACCAAAAAGTGATAGACAATTATGAAGTGCTTTTCAACTGCAATTTTCTATATGAAAGAATATATACTAAGTGGTGTAATGAAGCTATTTTCTCCAGAGTGACGTGACCATCTACCATCATGAACAGGAATGAGAGTGGAGGCCCATAGAAAAGTTGGTCCCTAGCCACAGCAGGAAAAAAATAAGCAAGCAATACAGTGATGGGGAGGTATGTGGTAATGAAAATGGGGCTGCTAACATTCCCTGGAAGAAGAGGAAGGAGGGTCCTTTCCTGAGGTTCCAGTCACCACTCAGTGCCCTCATGCCCTTTAGCTTCATGTGGTTGTGGGGGGTGGTGACATAGTAAACAAAAAGTAGAAGGTTGACTGGGGTTAGGACTCAGCGATGCAGTTCTTGAGTCCTTCCCACGCTGGACTGGGACCTTCTGGGGATGCAGCCTATTGCTAGTTACTCTGTTCCTGGTAAACAACCTCAATAAATCCACCAAGCAGGACTTTGAGAGAATCATTTCTTGTGCCTCTCAGTGTCCTATCTGAGGAGGACAGATGGTTCTTTGCATCTTCCCAGGAAATGTAACAAAGCATACAGAAGCCAAGAAGTGAAAATGCCTATGGAACACCAGGCATGGTGGGTGATAAATTGCAAAGTGCTGGCTGGCTTTTTCTTGCTTACTTTCTATAAGAACACTGAAAGTACTGAATATATGTAATTCTCTTATTCTAACTGCTAAGGGAGACTGGAGGTGAAAGCATAATTCTCCTGGGTGCAAATAAATTCCTTTGCCAGAGGGCAAATGTATCATTAAAACTGAACTAGGCCCAATGAGATGGATAACTGAGTTTACTTGCCACCAAGCCTGATGATCTGAGTTCAAGCCCTGAAACCAGCATGGTAGAAGGAGAGAACTGAAACCCAAAAGTTGCTCTCTGACTTTCATATGCACACCACAGCAAATGTTTCCTACCCTGAAGGCAAAACAAATATAATAATTTTTTTCAAAAACTAACACATCAACATGAAACAGTCATTTAGAAGTTCAATCACAGGGCTGGAGAGATCATAGGGCTCAGCAGTTAAGAACACTGACTGTTCTTGCAGAAGACCTGGGTTCGAATCCCAGCACGCACATGGCAGCTAACAACTATCCATAACTCCAGTTTCAGGGGATCTGACAGCCTCTTCTGTCCTCCATAGGCACTGCATGACATGGGTGCACTTACCTACAAGCAGGCAATACACACATACACATAAAATAAAAATAAATAAAAAAATTTTAAAAAGTCCAATTGCTCAGTCACTATCTTCAGTGAATATACAATACTCAGAAATCTTGCACTGGAAGAATTTAATTACAAAGACTGAAGGCTAAAATCCTACCCATTTAAAATGAATAACTACTTCAGCTAAAAATATACAGAAAAATATATCAATAGGTGTAAGGAAAAGC